CTCTCAAAAACACATTGATCACATGTGTACGGTTTCTCTCTAGTGTGGATGTTCATGTGTACCTTAAGGGCTGATGAGTAGATGAGTATTATCAGCACAGGTATGCCTACCTGCTAGGCATCATTGCCAGAAGCACCTCTGCCGGTGCCGTTGGACCAGCTGTGGAGTCATCAGCCGGGAGCCACCCTTCACTAATGTTTCACCACTTTAATCCTGGAACATCTCAGGGTGGTGGAGCAGCGACAGGGACGTCTCCCTGCCACCCCCTGGTCCTAGGATCCCTGTTTGCCCCATGTTCTGTCCCTTCTACGGAGCCACAGCCTTTTCTAAAGCTACTTTTTGTAATGTCTCTTCAATGATTGAATCATCTAACAATAATGATTTAAATCAGGGGTGTCCAAGCTATGGCCTGCTATCACTCCTGAGGCCGCCCGCGAGGGATTTTTAAAAATGATATGAATCTACAGAGGTGGGCAAACTATGGTCGTTTTCATGCAGCCCGTGAGGCAGTTAGTACTCTTTTAGCGCTCGTTAAGAATACTTATTGAAATGAAGTACCTACTCATCGAGTATACGGTTTTGGACGCAGCCTTTGTATTTGTCATTGAATCATTCATTCAAGAGATTTGTTCAAAAACCTTGATTCACCCAGTAATGAAACAAGTGAAGAATACGAGATGTGAAAGGAGCGGCATATATACACACACACAGGCATGTCTACTCTTTGTTGAAACAGAAGTAATGTATTAAGCGTAGAGGAGAGAAAATGGACGTAAAGTATCGATCTCATCAGGCTAGTATTGACCCGATACCAGTATTAACGTTCATATCGATACTATCAATATTAGGATCAATCTGCCCACCGCTAGAAGAAGAAGAAGGGTTGCTAATGTAGACAAACTCATTCAATCTCAGTCATGTGTGGATTAAAATATTGTTTATTAGGCAAATAAAATCTTTATTGAGAAATTTAAAAGCCCAAAAAGCAATTATGATACAGGTATTTCATAGCTTTTAGATATTTTATTAAAATTTATATTTTATTTATATTAGATATTTACTTTATAAAATTAATTTTTCCAGATCAATCAGCAGACAATAAAAGTTGTTGATAAAATATAAAAAGTAAAGATAACAATGTATTAATAAAAAAGGTAACCTTTAATCAATAATTACATTTAATCAGCATTTAATCAACAAAAACAAAAACAAGCTAAGTAAAAGTGAAAACTAATGGATCTCTCTCTCCTACTGACTTACAAATAGGGATGGATATCTGTAAGGTTTTAATCTTCTTACAATCCTGCTTATTAAACATACTGAACATAATATGAAACAATTGAACATAATATGAAACCAATAAGAAAGCACAATGATAACATTTATATCATGAAGCAAAATTATATACAGGAATAAAACTTTGTGACATTGTTCTTTGGGGAGAAACTCCATCTTTGAGTTGAATCTAATAGTTTTGGATATTCACTGTGAAAACTTTAGATAATGTTTTTTTTATCTAAATGTATCTATCTATTTAATGTCTTTATCATATTGCTTGTGTAACTTTAGCCTCCTTGTTAGTGAGTCCGCCTCCCATGCCGGAGACCCGGGTTCGAGACCCGGTACATTGGTGCCGTGACCCGGATGGGAGTGAGGTTTAGGGGGAGGGTGTAACGGCGGCCGCGAGTAGGTGCTGTGCAGGTAAACCTCACTCCCCTGATCTCAAGAGAAGTGCTAGTGGCTGCAATCTTTAGCCTCCTTGTTAGTGCGTCCGCCTCCCATGCCGGAGACCCGGTACATTGGTGCCGTGACCCGGATGGGAGTGAAGATTAGGGGGAGGGTGTAACGGAGGCCAGCGAGTAGGTGCTGTGCAGGTAAACCTCACTCCCCTGATCTCAAGAGACATGCTAGTGGCTGCAATCTTTAGCCTCCTTGTTAGTGCATCTGCCTCCCATGCTGGAGATCTGGGTTCGAAACCCACTTGGAAACAAGAACGAGGTGTGTCGGTGAGGACCCGGGAGAGAGGGATTACACTTGTACAGACAGATTTATCCAGCTGATATTTCACTGCTTGATGCATTATTGTGTCACATTTGGTGATGATGCGAATCAGACCTGAAAATGCTGGATCTGAAGATGATCTACTTACTGTGAATGTTTTTTGTATGACTGTGTAGAGAAGATGAATGACTGAAACACTTCCGACATGCAGTGCAATGATACGGTTTCTCTCCAGTGTGGATCATCTCATGTTTTTTCAGATTTCCTGAATTACTGAATCTCTTCCCACACTGATCACATGTGTACGGTTTCTCTCCAGTGTGGATCCTCTCGTGTGTTTTCAGATTTGCTGAATCACTGAATCTCTTTTCACAGTGTGAACACTTGTATGGTTTTTCTCCAGTGTGAATCCTCTCATGCACTTTTAAACAGTTTGCTGTAGTAAAAGTCTTCTCACACTCAAAGCACATGTACTCTCTCACACCAGTATGAATTTTCTGATGTTCTTTCAAACTTTGTAGACGTGAAAAACTCTTTCCACACAAATGACATGAATGTGGTTTCTCCTTTGTATGAACTCTCAGGTGCTGCTTCAGGTATGAAGCTCTCAAAAATGTTTTGTCACATTGATCACATGTGTACGGTTTCTCTCTAGTGTGGATGTTCATGTGTACCTTAAGGGCTGATGAGTATGAGTAACTCTTTCCACACTTATCACAAGTGAATGGTTTCACTCCAGTATGAACTCTCATGTGTGTCTTAAGGTATCCTTTTATTGTGAAACTCTTCCCGCACTGATCACATGTGAACGGTTTCTCTCCAGTGTGGATCATCTCGTGTGTTTTCAGATGTCCTGATTCTCTGAATCTCTTGTCACAGTGTGAACACTTGTAAGGTTTCTCTCCAGTGTGGATCCTCTGATGAAGTTTTAAACACTTTGCTGTAGTAAAAGTCTTCTCACACTCAAAGCACATGTACTCTCTCACACCAGTATGTATTTTCTGATGTATTTTCAAATGTTGTAGTAATGAAAAACTCTTTCCACACAAATGACATGAATGTGGCTTCTCCTTTGTATGAACTCTCAGATGCTGCTTCAGGACTGAAGCCCACAAAAATGTTTTCCCGCATTGATCACATGTGTACAGTTTCTCTCTAGTGTGGATGTTCATGTGTACCTTAAGGTGTGATGATTGTGAGAAACTCTTTCCACACTGATCACAAGTGTACAGTTTCTCTCCAGAATGAACTCTCATGTGAAGCTCAAGATGATGTTTGTATGCGAAACTCTTTCCACACTGAGTGCAGGTGAAAGATTTCTTGGTTCTTCTTTTCTTTAAATCTTTCTGTTTGGGTTTTTCTCCACTTATGACATGATTTTTCTCCTCAGATTCACTCAATTCTTCTTTCTCCTCATTATCTTCAATCAAGTCTGACACAAAAGTAAAAACAGTACATTTGTCAGTAACTCGTAATAAAAACAGAAAAGTGAAAGGACATAATAAAGTGAAAGGACATAAAAATGAACCCTGATATAACAGCGGAAAGTAGACAATTGCATTACAAAATTATACATCCCTGAAACTTTCCATGAATGAGGTACACTGATCTACAAATTATTAGTTTTAAAATATTGTAGGCACAAACCTCATGTTTCTATAGGGAGAAACCGATATTAGTGGTCGACCGATATTGGTTTTTTGACAGCCGAAACCGATGCCGATATCTTGGAAAGCAGGGTGGCCGGTGGCCGATATAATTGTATTTATTTTAATTAATATTTAAGACATTTGAAATCATTTGAAAATGGATTTAAAAAAAAATTGTAAAATAATCATACTTATGACAAAGTATTTTTCACAAATAAATATTTAATAAAAATATAATTTAAAAGGAAGTAAACTGTAAACAACAGAGCCCTCAGTATTCTGGGAAGTTTGTGTGCATTGGGAATAATATTTTTTCAAATAAAGCCAAGGTAACACTCATTTTACATACAGCACACAGTGAACATGACATGCATATGACAGTGGGCAAATGCATAAAGCGCAGCATAATCTGAAATCGCGAATTTAAAGGGGTCATATGATGCTGCTAAAAAGAACATTATTTTGTGTATTTGGTGTAATGAAATGTGTTTATGCGGTTTAAGGTTCAAAACACATTATTTTCCACAAAAACATTAAAACCCATTATAAACGAGGCATTTGTAGCATCCAGTGGGGACATGATTACGGATTATAATGACTTACACTGTCTTTTTACGAGTTGCGTTGCATCGCGCCACGTAAACATAAAACCATGTCTGCATTTGTGATCGGAGATATGACAAACAACAAGTGCTACTCTACACTGCTCAAAACTCGCGTTTGAATCATCAGCGGCAAATTCTTTAAATATGTTAACGTACTTACAGTCTGTGAGTCAGAACAGCCGGCATGTAAGCATAAACATCTGCTTACTGCACACATCTGAATATTTGGGTTGAAGTGTTCTGGAACAGTGTTGTAAATACAACTTAACCACTGATTTCTAGCCGTGTCTAGATAACTGATCGGATCTGCCTTTCCCCGCGCAACATTTAAATAATTCTGCGGTGCAAAGTCGTGGGACATTTTACAAATCAAAATAAATGTACGAGTCTCATTAGCACTGTTCTTCCAACAGATCGTGAGAGAGGGGGCGGCGTTTTGTGTGAGGTCGTCCCGCGAATGCAGATACGATGGCTGGATTGCGTTTACATTACACTGAGATCCGATCACAATGCGTCCTCAACTACCTCTGGACCAGGACACGCTGATCGGATAACATTCCGATCAGAAGCGCGTTTACACTTGTCTTTTCAATGTGTATGTGGACAACATCCAGATACAGGTCGCATGTTAATGCCAAGAGTAAACACAGCCTTAGTTCAGATTGGGGGAACTGGAATGTTTAATAATTTATTTTATTATGAAAATTACTTTTGTATTGAAATTTGCATAGATTTTTGTTTGTATATGCTGTCAATTATAGTTCTTAGAAAGAAAATCATTATCGGCAGATATTCGGCACACTTCCAAAAAATCGGAAATTGGAATCGGCCAAGACAATTGCAATCGGTGCATCTCTAGAACTGGTTTATGCTGGGACCAAACTATCCCACTCTTTTGCTGCAAGCCCCCAGATATCAACTAAAAAATGGCGGGCCCCACAACTACCAAAGTCTGTGGGCCCAGCTCGTCTTCCTCCTCCTGTGAGAGCTCTCCGGCCCCTGCCACAACGCCAGGGCCCAAACCCTCCATCTGCTGTAGGTGAACCAAAAACAACTGATAGCAGCTCTCAGTGATATGTGTCGGGTCCCCGCTATAATAGCAGCAACATTCACAAATGTTTACAGAACAAGCGGGAACCCAGTGTGCCTGTAGTTTTCTCTATTTCTGTTTTATCACATGATAGAAAGTCTAAGGCCTTCTCAAGCCGTATGGCTGACTCATCTAATCTGCGGCCTGTTATGCATCAAACTAATATTGCTGTTGAGACAAAATGCAATGCCATCAAGTTAGCATTTTTAAATATTCGCCCACTAAAAAATAAATCATTTCTAATCAATGACTTAGTGTGGAGCAAGTTTTCAAGGAACATCACTTAATGCTAAACTCTTGCAAGGACCAGACCTCACCAGCTCACTCATTGGAGTAGTGACAAAATTCAGAAAGGAACCAGCAGATATAGAATCAATGTTTCATCAAGAAAAGGTGCCAGCCGACGATGTTGATTTGTTAAGGTTTCTTTGGTGGCCTGATGGAGACTTAAATCAAGATCCAGTTGACTTTAGAATACTAGTACACCTCTTTGGAGTAACGACTTCTCCTGGCTGCACAAACTTTGCTCTTAGAAAATGTGCAGAAAACCATAAAGAGCAGTTCAGCAAGGAAGCAGTGGATACAGTCCTACATTCCTTTTGAATGAATGATGCATATATATAGTGCTTTATTGTGTATTGTTGTACACCCAAAGCGCTTTACAATCAAATGGGAGTAGAGGAGGGAGAGTCATAGAGCCAATCAAGTGGATGGGGATTATTAGGAGGCCATGATTGACAAAGGCCAGGGGGCAATTTGGCCAAGACACCGGGGTTACACCCCTACTCTTTACGAGGAGTGCCATGGGATTTTTAATGACCACAGAGAGTCAGGAACTCGGTTTAACGTCTCATCCGAAAGACGGATGTTGATGATTGTCTTGTTTCAGTTGCTTCTACTGAAAATGCACTAACCTTGTATCAGGAGCTTGTCACCATATGTGCCAAGGGTGGCTTTAACCTCACAAAATGGATGAGCAATAGACGTCAAGTGCTAGATGTAATACCGGAAGATCAAAGAGCAAAGACCATGAAAGGCTTGAGTATGGAGCGGGATTCTCCATCAATTGAGAGAGTATTGGTGGTGAAGTGGTGTATTTAGTCCGATGCATTCAAGTTTAAGATTGTAATTAAAGAAAGACCTCTGACCAGAAGAGGAATACTATCCATAATCAGTTCCATCTATGATCCCTTAGGAACTGTGAGTCCTGTGGTATTGTCCGCTAAGAAAATCTTGCAAGAATTCTGCAAAGGAAATCTGGGGTGGGATGATGTTCTCCCTGAATTGGTTGTTCAAAAATGGACCAGCTGGCTGCAAGAACTCACCATCTGGAAAACTTTAAACATGCAAGATTTAAAACCTCCAAAGTTTGGGGATGTCACTACCGCACAGTTGCATAATTTTTCAGATGTGAGCAAGGACGGATATGGAACTGTGACATATTTGCTGTAACATAATGCACATTCTCAAGCATATTGTGCTTTTATCATTGCTGCTACCATGCCAAGTCGTATGGCTTGTGAGACCTTGAGGATTTCTGTCACCCGGTTGGCTCCAAATATTCAAAATCGGGAAGTCTCATTCTTAATATACTTGAGAACAGAAACACTCCGTCCAAAAGACAGAATCTTTGAGCTCCAGATGTAATTATTTCTTCCATAGCACACCTCACAGTGGAGATACGTAGACTCAGCAAGCAATCCAGCTGAAGTTGCTTCAAGAGGATCGGCTGTCAGTGCATTCCTTGAGAACAAAACATGGACATCAGGTCCTGCCTTTCTTCTTTGTCCTGAAAGTGAGTGGCCTAACAGTCTCACTGACCTCGAAAAGTTTGAAGTAAGTGACCCTGAGGTCAAGAAAGGCATAGAGACTAATTCCATACAGCTCAAAGAAGAGGATGATGTAATTGCACGTTTAATTCATATTTTTTCTTCTTGGTTCCGTCTGAAAAAAGCAGTGACTTGGATTTTGAGATTTAACAATCTATTCTTGTCTCTTAGTCAGAAGAGGAAACAACTGAGCTTCGCTCTTGATGATTCTGGTTTGACTGTACAACAAGATGGTTCTTTGGAAAGGGAAAGGGAGACTTTCAAAGATCAACTTGAACAACCTTACCTCTCAACAGGAGAACTTAAAACAGCTGAACTGGAGATTATTCGATTCTCTCAAGAAAAGATGCTTCCTGATGAGCTTGCTAGCCTAAAAAGAGGTGAAAGTGTAAAGAAGAGTAGCCATATCTATGGACTTTGTCCCATTCTTGTAGATGTTTTGAGGGTTGAAGGACGATTAAGTAGGGCATCTATGCCTGAAGAATCCAAACATTCAGCTGGCGAAGGAAGTACAACCTCTGCTGGGCCTTTTTCACAATAGAGTTATCGTTTTCAATGTTTATTTAGGCTTTGATTTGAACGAAAACAGCGTATCCGTGTGGTGCGGCTGACACAGAACAGTATACGCAGTTTGCATCCAGCGGATACTCTCCAAAATGGCGCTACGGTGACAAGCAGGAGATGCGGAGGAGTCAAATTGTTGAATAAAGTCGTTCTCTCGTAGTTTTCTCGTAGCTTCATAATGTTATGGTTGAACCTCTGATGGCAGATGGACTATTCTGATAATGTCTTTCAAACTTTCCTGGGCCTTGACAGTGCTATTTACTTAGCAGTCAATGGGACAGTCACAAGCCTCCCGGTTTTCATCCAAAAATATCTTAAATTGTGTTCCAAATACGAACTAAGCTTTTACGGGTTTGGAACGACATGGGGGTAATTGATTAATGACAAAATGTTCATTTTGGGGTGGAGTAACCCTTTAATACAGTTTGGGTACCAGACATGACTTGATGTTAATGGGTTTTGTTTTGGGTATCGACTACCCTGCTGACTATTTGTTCGGACACCAGACAAAATAGATATTTTCTGACAGGATCTGGCATCCGGGACTGGATCTTAACTATCTGGCGTGGAGACTCAATCTAACACACATTTTGTTGAAAAAAAGTACCCAGTTCATAGAAAGTGTCCCTTATTATTTTATGCTTCAGCAAATTTATTCAACAGCTCTAAAGACTTTTCAAATTACAACAAACACAATATAAAACTATCTGAAACTTTATAACTTTATAACAAGAATAAAGACCAACCTGTTAGTTCTTCAGTATCTTCAGTGTGTTTGATTCTGCAGGGCTCTGGATCTCTCATCTTCTCTCTGTCCTCTTTAATAAACTCAGTCTCTGCAGATTTCAGCTCTTCCTGATGATTAGATGCTCGTCTTCACTTGTGAACTGATGGAGATATTCCAGCTGAATTTCTGTGTGGAAAAGCAGATTTGCCAAAATAAACAATAAATCAAAGAGGCATTAAGTGTTGTCTCTTTGTAAATCATTACATTACTATATTATATTACAGTGGTGAACCGTGACTCTTGAACCTTGGCCCTTTCCCTCTACCCTCGTCGGTGGAAATAGTAAACTACCAGCCTAGCTTACAGTGTCTTCTTCTCAAAGTCACCTTTGACAGTTCCACCTCTGAAACAAGAGACTATTCCAGCCTTAATGCGGTCACATACCGGACGAGAAGCGCAGTGCTGCTCTCCACCACGTCTTTAAAATTCACACACATTGTTTTCTATGAGTGCACGCACACCGGTGATGGTCCGCGGATCCCAGCTGCTACTCTGGGCGCTGTTCAAAATCCTGCCGCACCACAGAGCGCCACTCACATAGTTTTCCATTCAAATGCATTGTAATATTTGTCCCAAATTATTGTTAAATGGTTAGTTCACCCAAAAATGAAAATTAGCCTGTGTTTTACTCACCCTCGAAGCATCCTAGGTGTATATGACTCTCTTCTTTCAGACGAATCCAGTCGGAGTTTTATTAAAAATTGTCTTTGATCTTTCAAGCTGTTTCATTGCACTCAGCGGGTGTTGCATGCATCAGTCCAAAAGAAGTTAAATAAAAATCGGCCATCCATAAAGAAAAAAGTGTCTCACAATTTCGATATAAGCCAAGAGGAGACTGGTTTGCTAAAGTAAGTAAACTTTGCTTCCTTTGATCCTGTTAACAAACGTTGGTTTTCACGAGACTCACTGGCGCATGCGCAATGCTGACCTCATAAGTCATGCTCCCGGAACTGCTTCTGTGTACAACTGCTGGCGCAAGCTAGATTAAAGTGATTATTACATTTTGAATATGGATATTTTTCTTACAAAAACGCATGGATTCGCTACAGGAGGCCTTTGTTCACCCCCCGGAGCCGTGTGAGACACTTTTATTTATGGATGGGCGCTTTTTATTTAACTTCTTTTGGACTGATGCATGCAACACCCACTGACTGTAATGATAGAGCTTGAAAGATCAAATACAATTTTAAATATAACTCCGACTGGATTCGTCTGAAAGAAGCAAGTCATATACACCTAGGATGCCTCGGGGGTGAGAAAAACGCAGCCTAATTTTCATTTTTGGGTGAACTTTAATGTACAGTTGAGGTCAAAAGTTTACACACTCCTTTCAAAATCTGCAAAATGTTAGGCTATTTTTCAAACATAAGAGAGATCATACAAAATGCGTGATATTTTTTATTTAGTACTGACCTGAATAAGGTATTTCACATAAAAGATGTTTGCATAAAGTCCAAAAGGGAAAATAAAAAAAAATAAAAAGTTTACACCCCCTTGATTCTTAATACTGTGTTGTTACCTGAATGATATTTAGATAAAAAAAAAACATGCATTAAGAGCCGGGGGTGAAAACTTTTTGATTTTGAATCAGGGCAAATTTTACTTTTTTTGTCTTCTGGGAAACATGTAACTATCTTCTGTAGCTTCTGAAGGGCAGTATTAAATGAAAAAGAAAATAGATATATAGGCATGCAGTCATTGTTGGAAAGGGTTCAAATAGACAAAAATACTGGAAAACCAAAGAATTTGTGGCACCTGATGGATTTTTCGGTCCCACTTTATATCAGGTGGCCTTAACAACTATGTACTTACATTTAAATTAATAATTTAGGACAATGCGCTTATTGTGTACATACATGTTTTTACATTGTACTTATATTTTAAGTAAAAAATTAAATATATTTACAATACAATTAAATACAATTACATCTGTAATTAATTTCTGTAATTACATTTATAATTACACTGTTGATCCATCCCTTACACCTTAACCTACCCTTAAACCTACGCATACCACCAAACCTGTCCCTAACCTTACCTCACACCTCAATAGCAGCAAAAGTGTTTTGCAATACAATATGAACACAGTAAGTACACTGTACTTATTTGTTTTATGTAAGTACATAGTCATTAAGGCCACTTAATATAAAGTTGGACCAAAAAAATAAACCAGCTGTGAATTATTCAGGTAACATCACAGTATTAATAAACACGAACGGGGTCATTTTTATAAATTCAACTATTATTTTCTTTTGTGGACTATATTTATGTGAAATATCTTATTCAGGTCAGTACTAAAAAAACAATGACATGCATTTTGTATGATTTTGCATTTTGTATCAGTCTGCTGTCAAATCTGCAAAGGCTAATTATTTTTCTGATTTAGTTAAAAACAAAAAACATTCTACTTCTAAAGTTCTGTTTTCAGTTATTAATTCTGTTTTTCAGTTGTTAATCATTCTGTTAATACAGTGCATGTTGCATCCGATGCTCTATGTGAAAGCTTCTTAAGAAACTTCATTAGCCACATTTCCACTGTTGGGCCAAAAGCGAGCGTGCTAGTGCGTGCCAGGGCCAGTCGCGTTTCAACGGTCACTTCCGGGGCTTGATCGTGCCTCGTCGGTGCTTCTTCTGGGCCCTTGCTAATATTAAACCATCTTTTTGTCCTTATGACATTATACACCCTAACTATTTTTAATTAATTGCTGAGACTGTCGGGCCAGGTTTGGTGTCTTTTTCCGATAAGTGCCTTTTAACTGGCTCTGTTCCTGCTACTCTTAAAGTAGCTACTGTCACTGCACTTCTCAAGAAGCCTTCACTGGATCCTTAACTTCCGTTCCATTTCTGTTTTGCCATTTATCTCAAAGGTTTTAGAAACCTTTGTGTTCATTGTGTTTGACCAACTGCAGTTCTTTCTAAATCGTAACTGTACTCCTGAAATTTTTCAATCTGGTTTCAAATCTGCTCATAGTACTGAAACGGCTCTTCTCAGAGTGTTAAATTATATATTTTTAGCTACCGACTCTGGTGATTCTGTGGTCCTGGTTCTTTTAGATTTATCAGCAGCATTTGATACGGTGGACCACTCTATTCTGATATCAGACTTAAAAGTTCCGGTCCTTAAAGGGGTCATTGGATGCCCATTTTCCACAAGTTGATATTATTCTTTAGGGTCTTAATGAAAAGTCTATAACATACTTTGGTTAAAATTTCTCAATGGTAGTGTAAAAAATACCCTTTTTACCTTGTCAAAATCAGCTCTGCAGAAATCAACCCGTTTTTTGCATGTTGCTTTAAATGCTAATGAGCTCTGCTGACCCCGCCCCTCTCTTCTGTGGGGTGACGAACCGTGCTCTGAGAGACTGTTTACTTTAGCCGCATTTAGCCGCGAAACTTGCTAACTAGCACGTTATTAGAAACAGTGATTGCAAAGATTCATAAAAAAACCCTTATACTTACTCACTATCGTGGGAGCAGCCTTCGTCCGTATGACGTCACACAGACAAGTGATTTGAAAAAGGGGATATTATTTTTAGGGATTAAATAAAAACCACTGGGGGGATTTTTATCATTATAGGGTAGATGTGTACACACGCTGCCAACACACATTTATGTTCAAACAACATGTAAAAGTGAAATTAGCATCCTATGACCCCTTTAAGTGGTTTCAGTCATTTTTATCTGACAGAATTTTTTTTGTCAAACTAGGTAGCTTCTCTTCCTCTGTTGCTCATCTCACCTGTGGCCTCCCTCAAGGCTCGATATTGGGGTCCCTTTTTTCCCTGTACATGCTTCCTCTGGGTTCCATTCTAAGAAGGCATGGGGTGTCTTTTAGGGCTGCCACTAACGACTATCGATTAATCTCTCGACTAATTTATCGATTAATCTATCGACTAATTTATTGATTAATCTAAACGATTAATTTCCCACAAAAAAAATCAACAATTTTACTTAAGAATATTTTATTAAATTATATTTCATTAAACCAAATGAAATCCAAAAGTAAAAAAGTGCAACATAAATGCAAGAAGCAAGTGTCCATCTCATAGTCCAAATCACTGAAATCAAAGTTCAGTATTATAGTGTAAGAATTACAACATATCCACGTGTTCTAGTCTACTAATAATACAATTATAATCAAAAAACACTTTTTAAAGGAGTAGTTACCAGAAATATTATTTACCAGAATTTATTTAGGAGAAAAATATAAATGTGCTGTATTTCTGAAATTATTATTATTATTTTTTTAAATAAAATCAATTAATTGGAGATGCTTTTGATTATTAAAATTTAATGGAACCATTCAAATGGAATCCAGAAAATATTGGAAAACAGAATTTGGTAAAGATAAAATTGTAAAACTCAATTAATTAGACAGGCCTTTTGATTAATAAAATTTAATTTAACCATTAAAACAGAGTATAGAATAATGAAAATTTGGAAATAAAATGGATTTCAAAGGGCCCTATAATTATAATAAAAAAAAATTGTGGTAATAAAAATAGATGTAAGTGAACAATAGCCTTTAAACTTACTTCAAATACATATACAATAGCAATGAGGCAATAATAATTCATTCAAATAAAGTATCAAAAGCAAGAAATCATAAGGTTTTATTGAACAAAATTGTTAAAATACATAATGTATTATAAACAATTGAGCTAATGTACATTACGCATGACAACAAAAGCCTGCAGGGGGCGCCAACGGCCTGATGATTATTTTTACACATTACTGTGCGATCTAATACTTGATTAATATTGACCAAGCACCATTTAATTCAAATGTCCACTTAATCTTTAATATTTGGCCATTTCTTTACGACAGAAATGCTATTGCCATTGTAATTGAATGAATATGTGGACATCAAAACGTGTAAACTCAGAGTGAGGGTTTGAGCTTTTATTTTGAAACCGTGATGTATTCTCCTGTGTTTGCGTAGATTTATAAATGATTAACCTTACACATCTGATGAAATGGCGCACGCTGCGTTCCCAGATTAAGTTTCACTTTCACC